AGGAAGAGGAAGAGGAGGAGGAGGAGGAAGCGGAGGCGGAGGTGGAGGCGGAGCTGGAGGCGGAGGACAAGGAGGAGGAGGAGGAGGACGAGGAGCAGGAGGAGGATGAGGCGGAGGAGGCGGAGGAGGAGAAGGAGGAGGAGGAGGAGGAGGAGGAGGAGGAGGAGGAGGAGGAGGAGGAGGGGGAGGGGGAGGAGGAGGAGGGGGAGGAGGAGGAGGAGGAGGAGGGGGAGGAGGAGGAGGAGGAGGAGGCGGGGAGTCGGCTCGTAGCTCGAGGCTCGTCTCTGCCGGACACGCCCATATGCGCCGTACTCGCGCCCTCCTGCCGGGATCGCACGACGGCCGGGCACGACGGTGCGGCAGGCCATTCGGGGGGAGGGGTGGGCACGACAGGGCCCGTTTCGATTCCACCGATTCGACTCGACTCGATGTCCATGGCTTCCGATTCCGACTCGACTCGACTTTGGAGGAGGAGGAGGAGGAGGAGGAGGAGGAGGAGGAGGACTCCGATTCGGGCTCCGATGTCTCCATGGGGGCACACGGGCCTGCCGATTTCCGCCTATGCGACTTTTTTCCCAGCCTGGCTGTCGAGGTCCGCCGATCCGGTGCGTGCGGGTCGCCGAGCCGACTCGTCGATTCGATGCTGGGCTCGCCTGGCATGGGGATCCGAGGCGGGAATTTCTGCATGGCCACCGCCCAGCGTTCAGCGTCTTTGCAGCGTCCTCGCCTGGCGCTGCTGCCGCTCAGCGTCTTTGCAGCGTCCTCTTCTGCATGATTCCACACATGTGCTAATGTTGCTTGCAGTTGCTGCCGATGCGCCGTCAGGGCGCGGCTTATTCGTTCACCGCCCACAAGATCCGTTTTCGGGGCCCTTGGCAGGCGGTGGATGTGCGGAAACATTCGGGCCCCGGGGGCCCAAGGATATCCAAATCGCCAGACCCCCGACGTCGTGATTTTTGTTCACAACGTCGACCCCCAGAGGTCTGGACCTCTTCCCCGGGGCCGACTTTTCATCCAGAGTCGTCTTTTAACGGTCCCGAGGCCCGGGAAGGGTTCCCGGAGATCGAAGATAGCGAAAAGTTTCCAGTCGTTTTTTTCTTTTTCACAGCGCGAGGAGGTCTGGGTCCATCGCCCGCTGGGGCACCAGGACGTCGGTCCCCAAACGGTGGATATGGATAAGTCCCGCCTCGCAGGGGAGGAGGAGAGTGGAGGGGTTCGGTGGCAAATCATGGGAGCCTGGTATACCCTCTTGGTTCCGTCTTTAGCGTCGATTTGCGTCTGGAGGCGATGGGATATCGCCGATCTAGCGTCGACAAGCGTCGATGTAGCGTCGATGTAGCGTCGATGAGCGTCGATTTAGCGTCGATTAGTGGCGATTCGCAAGAGCCGACAAGATGGTATGGAATGCTTCCAGGAGTTGCGACCGAAGGGGGGCGGTGGGGGGGGCCCGAGAGAGGTCGAATACGCATGAAGACGCCGCAGGCACGTCCAGCATGAAACTGGCCAGCCTGCAAGCGCCCCGCGGGCAGTTCGTCTGAACTCTCGATCGCCCCTGGTCAGGCGATCGCAAACATGGATCAATGGGGGCATGGATTAGCGACGAGTCCCGTTTCCATAGGACATCGCGGATTTCCGCCGCCGAGCGAGGCGGCACCAGTCGCATTTTGGAGGGGCCCCCCCCGATCCATGGATTTGGCGACCGCGCGCCAAATCCATGGATCGCCAATCCATGTTGCGCGCCCCCGACCTGGGACCCATGGAAGCACTCGATCTCCTTCTGGAGCTCATCGACCGAGGTCGAATATGCCCCCGGGTCTCTTATCATCAGATTTCTTACCGTATGAGCCGCAGGCTTGTGTCGCGTCGACGCGGCGGCGACCCCGCCGCGGGCGTTCAGGGTTGAACGCCGCCAGTGGCCCACAATCGGCCAATACCGAACGAACTGGCGATCGAGACGCCGCCGCAGGGAGGAGGAGGAGGAGGTGGGGGAGCAGGGATGAGGAGGAGGGAGGAGGAGGAGGAAGAGGAGGAGAAGAGGAGGAGGACGGAGGAGGAGAGGAGGAGGCGGAGGCGGAGGCGGCGGAGGAGGATGAGGAGGAGGAGGAGGAGGAGGAGGGGAGGAAGGACGAGGACGAGGAGAAGGAGGAGAAGAGGAGGAGGAGGATGAGGAGGAGGAGGAGGAGGAGGGGGCGGAGGAGGGGGCTGGTGGAGGAGGGGGGGGGCAGGGACGAGGACGAGGAGAAGGGGCCTCCGAGGTGTATCACATCGGGTGTGTTCGACGACGTCGTCACGGCACCAGCACGCCGTGCACATTTTGCGATGGGCTCCCCCAGGGGGCTCGAGCCGCCCCTGGCCGTGCCCGGCCGCGGGGGCCTCGAGCACGTCCCGGCGGACGTGCGCGCGCGCCGGGCCCCCGCAGCTGAGCACCGCCGAGACGGAGCGCACGGACGCGTCGCAGTTCCTGGAACGCCTGGGGGATATCTGCACCACCAAGACCAAGGCCAGCGCCGCCCTCCTCGCGCCGGGGAGGGCAGCTCGGCCTCCTCCTCGCTCTCCTCCTCCTCCTCCTCCTCGGCCTCGTCCTCGTCCTCGTCCTCGTCCTCGTCGTCTTCCTCCTCCTTCTCCTCCTCCTCCTCCTGCTCCTCCTCCTCCTCCTCCTCCTGCTCCTCCTCCTCCTCCTTTTCCTCCTCCTCCTCTCCTTCCTCCTCCCCCTGCTCTTACTCCCCCCAGACATGCTCGCGTCGTGAACAATCACGACGGGCGTTTTTTCTTGTTGTTCTCGGCACCTGGGGGCCCTCGCCAGGCCCTGGGCCCGTCAAGACAGACGACCCAGGATGAGAAGCCCGTCCCGGGGAAGGGGCCCAGACCTCCCGGGGTCCACGTTTCGGGGGCAGAAAAGAGGGCGGTGATGACTATGGGGGGCGGGATATCATGGCGCGAGCCATGATATCTCCCCAGATTTCATGGCGCCTCTTCTCATTTCATTACGTCCCTGGCCCCTCCGCTGGGCCGCGCACATGCTGCCGGTCATGATTTGCACCCCCCCTTCTTGTGGACACCCCCCTCTTTGCCGCTCCCGAACGTTGTGAAACTTGGCCTGGCGAAGGACCCAGCGGTACGCAGTTGTGAGTACCGTAGTTGCGGGTAACGTCTTCGGTGGAGCTCCACATGGGGCGGCAGAACGTGTCAGGGGTTGTGCCGAGATGGGTGAGGGGACCGCGTGCGAACTGTGTCACTGGGGCGGGGCCTTGAGTGTAGCTCCCCATGCGGCCACGAATCGTGCGAGGGGTGTGGCAAAATGGGCGGGGGAGACGCATGCGAACCCTGCCACTGGGGCCCTGGGTGGAGCTCCGCATTGGGTCAGGAAGCGTGGGAGGGGTGTGCCGCTGTGGGCGGGGGAGACGCATGCAATGACGGCCACTGGGGCCGTGGGTGGAGCTTCCAAAGAGGCCACGAGGCGTGCGATGGGGCGTGCCGTGATGGGCGAGGGAGACACATGCGAACCCTGCCACTGGGGCCCTGGGTGGAGCTCCCTTTGGGGGCCACCAGGCGGCGGGCAGAGGCAGGGATGGGAGGAGGGGGAGGGCCGCGGGAGGCGAGGCGCGGGGCGCTTCCTCTTCAGGACCGCGGGATGGCTGGGAGAGACGCGGCGCCGGAGCTCGCAGGGTGCCTCGGGCCCAAGGAGGGGCCCCTACAGATCTCCACTCCGCTCGGGAGCTCCCGGGGCACTCTGGGCTTCGTGCTGGGCGCGCTGCTCAGGGGCAGCGCTGGGGGGAGGAGGGGCTCAGCTCGCCGCGTGGGGACGGGGGCCCGACGGCGAGCGTCAGCGCCGCCGCCGCCGCCGCCGACGACAGCGGCAGTGACGACGGCGGCGATGGCGATGCCACTGGCGGCGGCGACGCCGATGGCCAGCGGCGGCGACGGCAACGGCGATGGCGTTGGCAGTGGTTGTGCCGCGGTTGCCTCGCGCATCCCGGCGGGGCCACCGTGGTGACGCCTTCGAAAGGTGGGGGTGCTTCCCTGAGGAGCAGTCGCGCTTGCGAGGACGGAGGTGGCGGCGGCGAGGGTGAAGACTGCGACTGCAGCGGCGGCGGCGGCGGCAATGGCGGCAGCGGTGGCCGCGGTGCGTGGGGCGCAGGCACCCGCGATGGTGGCCACCGCGGCGGCGGCGGCGGCGGCGGTGTGGGCCGCGGCGGGCGTGATGGCTGCCCTGCAGCGGCGGTGGCTGCGGCAGTGACCCCAGCGGTGGTGGCGAGGCGTGGTGGCGCAGGCACCTGCGTTCCCAGAGCCCCGACGTCGCGACGTTTGTCGCAACGCCGACCCCAGGGATGTCTGGACCCTCTCCCTGGGGCCCGGCTTCTCATCCCGGGTCGTTCTCGACGGTCCCGAGGCCCGGGCAGGGACCCCCCGGAGGCCGAGACTTGCGAGAATATCTTCCCGTCGCAGTTTTGTCCACAGCGCGAGGAGGTCTGCGTGTTGGTGGCCCTCGCGGCGGCGGCGGCGTCGGCCGCGGCGGGCGCGACGGCGGCGAGGGCTTGGTCAGCGTCCTCCTCCTCCTCCTCCTCCTCCCTCCTCCCTCCTCCCTCCTACCTCCCTCTTCCTCCTCCTCCCTCCTCCTTCCTCCTCCTCCCTCCTCCTCCTCCCCTCCTCCTCCTCCCCATCCTCCTCTCTCTCCTACTCCTCCTCCTCCCTCCTCCTCCTCTCCTCCTCCTCCTCCTCCTTCCTCCTCCTCCTTCTCCTCCTCCTCCTCCTCCTTCCTCTCCTCCTCCTCCTCCTCCTCCGCCTCCTCCTCCTCCTCCTCCCTCTCGCGAGGGGGGGACGCGCGCGCTGTGCGTGATCCCCCGGCGCCCCCGCCGCGGCGCGCGCGCTCGCGCGGGGAGGAGTACGAGTCGCGGGTGCAGCTGCGCACCAGCGAGGAGGCGCGCTCGACCCCCCCCTGCTCTCTCTGCGAGGAGGGTCGCGGAGAGAACAGCGGCAGACACGGAAGTTTTGAGGCGCCCCGCGCTCAAGAGCCTTGAGACGGGGGTCAATGCAAACGGGGGTCAGCCAGGGCGCCAGATCTTGCAGGATCCTGCAGTGCCAGGGTCGCATTGACCTGGGTTTGTGTGCAGGATCCTGCAGGATCTTGCAGGACCCCTCGCATTGACCCGGGTTTGGGTGCAGGATCTTGCAGGATCTTGTAGGATTCTGCAAGGCTTGACTGACCCGGGTCTGGATTGACCCGGGTCAGAATGTCCCCGACGCGCGGGGTTCTTGGATCCGCGCTGGGCCTCCCCCGGCGGCGCCTCTGGCGCCGCCCCCTGCGCGCTCCGCGCGCCAGGGAGGGGTGCCCAGCGCAGATCCAAGAAGTCCGCGCGGAGCGCCAAAGTTTATGCTCATGGCGCTGTTCTTTTGTTTGTCTTGGTTTCGTTCCTCGCCGACCTCTTCTAGGGGAGGGGAGGGAGAGGGACAGGGCACTGAGCGTTTCCGCCTTCTTCTTCTCCTTCTTCTTCTTCTTCTTCTTCTACTAGACAGGGGAGGGAGAGGGACAGGGCACTGAGCGTTTCCGCCTCGGTCTCGCCCCCCGGGGTGCGTGGCGGGGCCCCGCTGCCACCTCGAGCACGCGCGGCCCCAGGGGCGGAGGCCTGCCCCCCCCGGGGGAGAGGCCGGAGCCCCTGGGGCCGCGCACGGCGCAGGGCGATCACGTCGTCGGACGTTTGGGACGGGCGGCAGGGCGAGGGTGTGAGGACGAGGAAGGGGGGTGAGGAGAGGAGGAGGAAGGGGAGGAGGAGGAGTAGGAGGAGAGGAGGGGCAGGAGAAGAGAGGAGAGGGGAGGAGGGAGGAGGAGGAGCGAGGAGGAGAGGAGAGGAGGAGGAGGAGGAGGAGGAGGAGGAGGCGAGGAGGAGGAGGAGGAGGAGGAGGGGAGGAGGAGGAGGAGGAGAGGGGAGGAGGAGGAGGAGAGGCGGGGGTAGCGGGGAGGGGGCAGGGGGAGGAGGAGGAGGAGGAGGAGGAGGAGGAGGAGGAGGAGGAGGAGGAGGAGGAGGAGGAGGAGGAGGAGGAGGAGGAGGCTCGGCTCGGAACCCTTGGGTGCGGTCAGACGGAAGTCTCGAATCAGCCTCCCACCTGGGCGTCGCTTCGCGACAATCGAAATGAGGACTAGTCAACCTTGGTGGCCACCATGGCCAGTCGGGCTCCGCCCGCACGGCCCCAGGGAGCGGCCCGCCGAATGGCGCGCAGCCTGGCGGGTGCCCCCCTCACGGGGACCAGCTCGCGGATCCGTCACTCCCGACCCCCCACCCTCCAACGTCCCACCCGTCCCATCCTCGAGCCGATCCCCGTGAGTGCTTCTATTGCTGTTGAGCGCCGCCCCGACTTCCCTCGAGGAGTGAACCTCCCGTGCGGGGGGTCGGTGTGCACTACCCGAGGAACGCCTTCAAAAATTGGGTGCAGGGGCGGCGGGCAGAGACTGGCTCGAAGCAGCGTCCCTCCCGCCAACCGCTCCTTTCCCTCTGCGTGCTCGGCGGGTCGGACTCAGCACTTGCACGGCGGACGAGGGCATGAGCGGTGAAGCATACACCGTCGCCACTCTCGTCGAGGACAAAACTGCAGGGCTGACAATACCCTTTGCAATCAAGGCTGCCAGCCTCTCACTGCTGGCCATTAGAACTGATTGAGAGCCTGGAGCAAACTGCCTGCCTCTCGCTCCAAGGGGCCCCTCGGAGCTGGGCCGTGCACCGCCTCCGCCTTCTCCACTTTCACGAGGTAGTCCACCAGGATCGGGTACTGGGAGTTGGCGGACGGCACCCTCGAGTTCAGCACGAACGAGAGGACCCCCTTGGCTTCCTCGCCCGTGGTCCTCGCCTTGCGATACTTGCAGTGGAGGCTCTGCTCCGCGATCTCCTGTGGCTTCTTGGCGGCGGTGACCTGCTGCCAGTACTCGAGGAAGATATTGTGCCCGTCTGCCTTCGGAGTCCCTCCCCCCGGCGCCGTGATCTCCATGCTGCGCTTGATGATGGCGCCGAAGAGGTGGACGTGAGGCGGCCCGCGGGCCTTGAAGTCGACCGACTCCCCGCCCGCGACCTTCTCGCGGAGCCTCTTGCTCTCGCCGTCGTAGTCGATGCCGCTCTTGCGGCACACCTGCCCGAGGCTGCCCTCGGCCTCGCTGATGAACATCGTGGTGTAGCACACGCTCTCGAGCTGCGCCGCCTGTCGGGCCGTGGTGAGGGCCAGCTTCGCGATGATGACCAGCAGCTGGTCGGCCTTCTCCTTGTGGTTGCCTGCCTTGCCCCGCTTCGGGCGCGGCGCCGATGCAGGGGGCGAGGCCGCCCTCACCATCCAAGAGGGCATCGCCACGTCCGAGGTCATGGCGAAGTCGCTGCCGCGCGAGGAAACACGCCCCCGAAGAAACCGACCAGGGAAGATGAGCCCGAAGATGGCTACAGAGGTCGTCGTAGTCAGCCGACTCGTACGAGCAAATGCGGCACCCAAGATCCCTCGGTTCAACTCTGGTCGCAATCGCAC